TTTTTTTACATTAAAAAACGCTGTCATATGATAAAATGCTTATTGACTGAGTTAGGTCGGGCCGTACGGGAAAATATTTGGCTCTCGGTCATTTGTACGGACCTCGCTGCGCTCGGTCCGTACGGCATAAGGCCTCGAGCCAAATATTTTCCCGTACGGCCCTCCCACTCAGTCAATAAGTACATAACAACGCGTCGGATTTCCGCGTTGTCATTTATTGACATTGATACTCCAAAGCATGGGAGCGCCTAAACTATGATGTTTTGGGTTGAATCTCAAAACAAAAAACAAAAAACAAAAACAAAAAAACGAAAAGCAAAGTAAAATTATTAAGGCCCGTTTATACACTTGGGATATTTGCAGCTCAATAATCGCCACTTTGCTATCGCGCAACTGCGCAACTATCGCCCTGCGATCGTTGCGACGATTGAAATTTTCCACGAAGTTGCAGCCAATTTTCGAGCATGTTCGAAACTCAGGCGATGGTCGCGTGAGAATCGCTTTGCAAAAATCGCAAATGTAAGCAGGCCTTAAACGTCTATCAGCTTTTCAGCTTCATTTGCTCTGTTTTGTAGACGACGTTGAATTCAAGCTGGCTCACAGACAATAAAGACATCAATCTTGACTCTGCTGTAGGGCTAACATTGGATCAACTGCGTCATATTTACCACTTGAAAGTAGCTCACTTTAAACAAGAAGCTGAAGCAGCCATCATGAGCGCTAAGCTTGTGACAGATAAACTTGCCGCAGAAACAACCGCAAGGACGGAAGCACAGGTCTGTGAAATATCACATGCAGTATCTTCATATCATATTTTCTTTGATATATTAGTGTCCTTCCTATTTCTTTTTTTGTTTTGGGCTTCCTTTGGCAACCTCTTTGTAACGGAAGCTAGCAACACAGACACTTCCATGGGATAACAGGCACAGTAACGCTTTCTAGAAACAATTGTTGCCTGCCATTATGGAGTGTATGGAAACATTGCGTTTTTCGTTTGGTCCATTTGTCTCCATCTTGGATTTTTTAACTTCAAGTGCGCATGCGTACCTCCTTACTCGTGTTTTGCTTTCTTGTTTGGCCGCTTTTGACCCAGAAATTGAATATAAAGCAAAAGTTATTAGTACGGCCATGAACAACCAACGAAGAGAAACTTCAAAAACACACTTTATACAAAATATGCAACCATAGCTAGTCTCCCTCTACTAACTATGATGCGACGAAGATAATCAAACAAACTTAGCTAGTTACTATATTAAACTATCAATCTTTTATGTCAACAGAGACAACTGGAAGCTGTTTTGAAACAAAACAAGGAACTCATTTCTACTGTGCAACAACTCGTCGCACAGGTTCACGCTCTCCATTCACAACGACACACTCTTTCTACGTCACATGGTTTACGACTCAGTTCCAGTACCTCATCGTCCATGTCATCGACTCCTACTTTGACACCGAAGCACTTGCCTTCAGGTAAAACATGCAGGCGAAACGAGTTTTTTTCCTCATACAATTTGCAATTGGCCATATGTAGCGACTTTTTTATCAGTGCCCCCCGTCTTTTCGCTTAAAAAAATCGTTAAAGTTATTTGCAATTGAAACAATTTTTTTTATTTAAACTGGCGTAAAATGATGCAAATCTGCCATCATGTTTTGTTGGACAAAATGGCGTCGCTGTTTATTGTTTTTAAAATGCGTTTAAGTATCGGTTCTCGTGTCTAGATCTAAGATACTGATAATGAAAGTGTCGTCGTGTGTGGTCACTTGGAAAAATAAAATATCATACAATAATCTTTATTTGTCGAGGGTAACACATGAGGGTTATAAAAAATGATAACTTAGTGACCCTCTCTCTGATGCTAAATGCAGTGATTATGGAAATACAATTGGAACGAATTTCCAATAAAATCCCGACCTTCTCAAAAACTGTGATGAAAACTAAACTAACTTGTGTATGCACAAGTCCTCAAATTAAGGACCTAATCATTTCTTTTTTAGGATCATCAAGAAAGAATCCCGGTGAATCTCCAGTGTTGCCTTTCATTCCTCCACCTCCCATCACACCAAGTCCAAACCATTCCCGCCAGAATAGCATCGACAGTTGGTCTTCGTCTCTTTCTGGTGCCAAATTAGGAACAACTTTAGACACTTCTGAGATTGAACTCTCTGAATCAAAGCGTAACCCCCAACCTCAAGAATTCCTACGTTTTGTATTTGACAATTCCAATTCTTCAGACGTTTTTATGGGGRCTGAAGAAAGTAGYAGTTCAACAGTTACCGCTGACACGGCAACTGAATCTGCGGGCTCAACAACGACTAATGAAAATGAMAATAGCGGCTCAGCTAGACTTGAGCCAAATAGTATTTGATATAAAATTCACAGAGAAGTATTTTTTATTAGAGAYTTTATGATATTCWTGTCACGCTCCTTGTTGAATATAAGAMTTTTTATATCCAATATCATTCTCATGGCCTTCTCTATAATTGCTATTACAAAGAATAGCGTATGTTTTGAACTACGCCATTTTGAAAAAGAGCCAGTGCCAGTAGAGAGACACTGGTAACGAAGTTGTTTTATATAGGTGCGGACAACAAAAGCGCTTGCTCAAGCATTTTTGAGAATCCGCTGAAAATTAAGGAACAGCTTTCGTTTTCACAAGATACACTGCAAGATTTCTAGTGTACAAATAGATTTAGATATATAAAAAATTGGTATTAATAGATGTTCAGTTATGGACRTTATCGGCTCGAAAAGGATTACTGGGTAATTTTAACTTCGTCCATATTAACTTTAGACTCAGCTTTAGACTCAATGCTAAATTTCACCATCCCAACCGCCATCTTGAAAAGTAGCCAAGATAGCGCAGGTGACTTTAGAATAGAGTATTTCAGCTGAAGCAAATTGATTATTAGACAAATGTGAAAATATTTAGATTAATTGCTCATGGCATTGAAACGCTTTGAGAATTTTTAACATAAGAACTGTGAAGTTTTTTATTGCAAATAAAGTCAATTATATTTTGTTATTATTTGAAAAGGTTAAAATGCTTATTTTGAATCGTATTATATGTTTTATGTAAGCGACGTTGTGAACTTTAAGTTTCTGGGAAATCATTTTGTACTATTAGATAGTCGGCAAATGCGCGCTGAAAAGCGTGGTCATCAGTGTTTAAWTCCAAAGGAAATATGTACAGYCGATTCCATAATCTTCATTTTGTTTCACGCCTTGTATGAAAACGCATAATTACAATAGRAGAAAGAAAGAAAACTTCAAATGTAAAATTATAGAAAACAATAAATATTTGTGAAAGAACTCATTAATGATTCATGAGCTAGTAGGCCATTCGAGGTATCCCAATTTGGTCACGTGAATAACCTTTATACGACTTTAAACACAGATAGGTTCTGGGAATATCTTTAAAGCGACACACGTACCATCATATAGAGTCAATTTCGTATGAGTGGGAAACGGACGGTACTGTGTATTGTCACCGTAAACGTACTGGTAACCAAATTCTTGTGTCTCATTGCTTCACAAAAATTGTGCAGGCCAGGTCCGGTAACTGTGCGGTAACCGTGCGGTTATAGACCTCTGCAGCTTTTACGTCATGTACCGTATACGCAATGCATTGTAGGATATGTTTGGGACAGAACATGGCGGATTTCTTTTGTTTTCTCTTGAAACTGATCCCACAATGCATTGAAAATCAAGTAGTGACGTAAAAGGTTCAGAAGTCTATT